TGAATGGCCCCGTAGTGTTCTGGGACCTGTAACGTGTCTCAGAAGATTACGGAGAGGGATGGTGGGAAGACAACTTCCGCTTCCGATCGCCTAGGTGATCACAGCAGAAGAGGGAGCGGGTACCTGTCAATTTCAGGTACCCGCTCTCCAAAGGTGCCAATCCTTAATGAGGAGCGGGGGACCAGTCTTTAAAGCGGAACTTCTCCTTTTGGGTGGATCTTCGCTTTAAGTCATGATCATTAGTGTTAAGTTTATTTTTCTCTTTTGTTTTACATTTGGCAGTCTTACTGTGTGTCAATGTCAAAGCCTGTGTGACCTGTACACTTGTATTGGCGGCATACACACAACCAAAAACATAAAGCAAGGGTAGGCAACCTTTGAGAGGTAGAGATCTACCTGAACAATATGAAAAAGAAACCACAAGACAAAGTTTTAAAAAGAAAATATCAAAGTAAAAATATAAACTTAGCCTACCATTAAAAGTGGACAGTTTTAGTCGGCAGAGCAGTGGACAGTGTCAGTAGGGCAGTGGATGGTGTGTGGACTGTGTCGGTAGGGCAGTGGATGGTGTGTGAATAGTGTCAGTCGGTAGGGCAGTGTCAGTAGTTTAGTTTTATTCAATTTTTTATTATTTTTACGTTTTTACTTTTTAACAGCCCTGTTGGGGGGTTTTGGTGAAATATCAGCAGTCTAAACAGAACCCTGATGGACAGAGAAAGTGAAGGAAGAAACAGAGCTCGATATCCATCTCTGCAGCCCCAGCAGCACAGAATGAATGAACAACAAGAGCTCTGCACAGTCTCCCTGTTCATTCACAAACTGAAGCACAGGTAACATAGTTTGTTGTGCTTCAGTTATGATTGAACACAGTAAGTGATGGTACCGATCGCTCATTGTGTTCATTCAGAAAAGGAAAGTGTCAGTAGATTACATATCTACCAGCTCCTTCCCCCGCTTTCCATCCTGAAACGATCCTCAAAATAGCTGGCGGGAGGGAGAGGACGGGAAGTTGGCAGTGCTGTGAGGAAGGAGGGTGGGAGACCAGAGGAGCACACAGGGCGACCTGGGCAGCAGGAGGAAAGGGAACATGGACAGGAGGGGTGGAATTTACTGGTGTCAATTCCCTGTAGCTCCCTCTTGCAGCAACTGAAAGCGTATAGGAGAGAGAGGAGGAGAAGCTGGCTTTCAGGTGCTGCAAGGGGGAACTACAGAGAATTGGTTCCAGTAAATGCTGCCCCAGCTCCTGTCCAGGTTCCCCTTCCTTCTGGTGGTACCCCCCTTTTCAGCAGCCCTGGCGCAGCATACTAAGTTGTTCCTTCCCTGTGCCGCTCTGCATATGTAAGAGGGAAAGGGATTTAATCTACTCGTCACCTACCCGCAGTTGATGGGTAGATTGCATTCGACGGGTTCTTGACCCCTGACATACAGACTACTGCATAAGCACCAAAATATAATACATTATATCATGCATGCGCCAACATCTTGTTGCAAGAATTAGACTGGCCCTGGAGGATGGCTTAAAAAAGATGTCAGATTTTTGAAGAGATACTGTAGGTGCCAGCTCCCCCTCACTCCCCCTCTCTGTTGGGGTCCCTCAAGGCTCTGTCCTTGGGCCCCTTCTCTTCTCCATCTACACCTCCTCCCTTGGCAACTCATATACTCTCACTGCTTCAACTACCACCTCTATGCTGACGACACACAAATCTATCTCTCAACCCCCCACCTCACCCCCTCAGTCTCCGTCCGAATCACAAACCTACTGAATGACATATCAGACTGGATGTCGCTCCACTTCTTTAAACTGAACTTCTTCAAAACCGAGCTCCTAGTCTTCCCCCCAGCCCGCACACCACCCCTTATTGACTTCTCCATCACGTCCAACAATGCCACTATCAGACCCGCCCCGCAGGCTAGAGTACTGGGTGTTATTCTGGACTCCAACCTATCCTTCCAGCCCCAAGTCCAATTATTAACAAACTCGTGCAGACTCCATCTCCGCAGCATCGCCAAAATCCACACGTTCCTAACCCCAGAAATCACTAAACAGCTCATCCACTCCCTTATGATATCACGACTCGATTACTGCAACTCCCTACTCACTGGCCTGCCTCGCCACAGGCTATCCCCACTTCAGTCAATCCTGAATACGGCAGCCAGACTCATTCACCTTACCAACCGCTCCGTTTCCGCCCACCCCCCTCTGCCAATCCCTCCACTGGCTTCCGATTGCGCCACGGATCAAAATCCTAACACTGATGTACAAAGCTGTCCACCATACTGCCCCAAATTACATCACCGACCTAATATCCAAGTACCACCCAACATGCACACTCCGCTCCTTGCAAGACCTCCTTCTCTCTAGTTCCCTGGTCTCCTCCTCCCACGCCTGCCTCCAGGATTTCTCCAGGGTGTCACCCATCCTCTGGAACTCCCTGCCCCAACCCATCAGACTATCACCTACTCTCCTCTCCTTTAGGCGCACCCTGAAAACCCACCTCTTCAGGGAAGCCTACCCCACCCCCTGCTAATTCGACGACTTCCTCCACTCTTCCTACCACTCCATCCCCCACAGCTAACTCCTCCTGTACCACTATCCCCTCCCTCCTAGATTGTAAGCTCGAAAGAGCAGGGCCCTCGATCCCCTCGTGTTTTGCCAAAATAGGAAATGAGCAGGAATCCATGGTTGTCACCAGGTTCCCCAGAACCAGTGTCTTCATTGGAATATTTTTCTTATACTTTATTCTGGTGAAAATACAAAATTTGAGATTTACTTTCTCTTTAATTATCGGTGATAATGGTAAACAGGACAAACAGAGAGGACAAGGGGCAAAAACTTAACTGGCGTTCTTATCCTTCTCCACCGTTATACTTTAAGATGTTAACAAAAATGTGTATCTTTATTTGTTACAATGACTTGTGGGTGCTGACATTATTCACTGATGTTCGATGTGCTAACCTTTTTCGCCTTCATGTTGGCCTTAATCTTTCTTCTGTTTTAGTTTTGGGTTCATATTGGGAAGGTAATTTATCCATTTTGTCCTGCTAATGGTATTTTGATTTGCTGCAGGGTAATTGAGACTAGGAGGATTAAAACCAGGCCTCTTTATGGATTGTGTTGATGATTCTAGTTAAATCCTGTGTTTTTAGTTCAACCTCTTGCAGCTGTATTCAAATGAAAATGCATCCTTTTTGACCTGCTTTGCCTGCAGTTTAAGTGCACTTTAACCACTTGCCCTCCTGAGGATTTACCCCCCTTAATGACCAGGCCTCTTTTTGCTACTCGGCGCTGCACTAATTCAACTGATAATTGCGCGGTCATGCAATGCTGCTTCCAAACAAAATTTACGTCCTTTTTTTCACACAAATAGAGCTTTCTTTTGGTGGTATTTGATCACCTGTGCGCTTTTTATTTTTCACGCTTTAAACAAAAAAAGACCAAACATTTTGAAGAAAAACAATATTTTTTACTTTCAGCTATAAAAAATATATAGTAAACTCAAAGTTAGTTATAAATTTAGGCCAAAATGTATTCTGCTACATGTTTTTGGTAAAAAAAATCCCAATAAGTGTATATTAATTGCTTTGTGTGAAAGTTATAGCGTCTACAAACTATGGAGAGATACTGCAATTTACGCCATTTTATTGCTATACAGCGCTACATAAATGAAATTTACATCCTTTTTTTCCCCAAAAAAATTGAGCTTTCTTTCGGTGGTATTTGTGCGTTTTTTTTATTTTTTGCGCTATAAAAAAAAAAAAAGCTGACAATTTTGAGGAAAAAAAACAATATTTTGGACTTTTTGCTATAAAACATGTCCAGTAAAAAAAAAATTTAAAAATCAAATTTAGTCATAAATTTCTGCCAAAATGCATTCTGCGACATGTCTTTGCTACAAAAAACCCCAATAAGTGTAAATTAATTGGTCTACGTGAAAGTTATAGCGTTTACAAATGGCAGGAAAGATACTGGGGTTTTTAATTTTTTTTTATACTAATAATGGTGGCGATCAGCGACTTATGGCGGCGATCAGCGACTTATGGCGGGACTGCGGCGGACATTCTGACACTGGGGGGGGAACTGACTTGGGGTCAGTGACACCAATACAGTGATCAGTGCAAAAAAAAAACTGACACTGTACTAATGGCACTGGGGAGGAAGGGGTTAACTTTATTATTCAGTGAAAGGGTTAACTGTGTGAGGGGAGTGTTTTACTAGGGGGCGGGGGTGTGTACTGCAGGGAACACCGCTGATCGGGACAGATAAACTCTCCTGTCCCGATCGGCGTGTCAGGAGCTGTCAGGGAACTGACAGAAAGCACAGCTACTGCAGCTGTGCTCTCTGTCACTGATTGCCGCCGATCGCCGGGACATAGCCGGTAACGACCAGCTGTGACCCGGGGACTGAGATCCGCGGCCGTGATCGGCGGGACAGGTAGGGCAGCGGCGCGCCTCACGCGCGCCCCCTACTTGTTTTAAAAACACACGTTTTAAAACGTGGTTTTGCCCAGCTGTGCCGCCCTGCCACCGTATTTCTACAGTGGCTGGGCGGCATGTGGTTTATAAGACATATATGGGGCTGATTTACTAAAACTGGAGCACTCAGAATCTGGTGCAGCTGTGCATGGTAGCCAATCGGCTTTTCATTTCAACTTGTTTAGTTAAGCTTTGTGTCCAAAGAAATGAGTGTGTGTGTATAATGGCTGAAATGTTGTGTGCTGAATTTGGGTCACCTGAAGCTCTCTCTATATATTTTGATATGTTAATTATGATTTTGGAGTTAAGGTGGTTCCTTCTCAATTTTTTTTTTTTTTTTTTAGCAACTCGCATTTGAGAGGCCTTGTATTTTTCTTTATTTTCAGGTTGAGATAGTGGTTCTTATAGGGCCAGTTGTCTCCATGTTATGCTTTTTAATATTGCCAAAAATGCTTATTAACTATGGAAATAACAATATTTAGACATTGTTTTCAAGTTGTTGCAATATTGTATCATTGTTTTTGCAGAGTGGGAGAAGGGCGGGCTTGTTGGAGCCTGGGGAATGCTTATACTGCCTTAGGTAACCATGACCAAGCTGTGCACTTTGCAGAGAGGCATTTGGAAATATCCAGAGAGGTAAAAGAAGCAACCGAATTTACATAAGGCATTTATTGTGTGTGTGTGCGTGTGTGTGTGTGTGTGTGTGTGCGTGCGTGCGTGCATGTGTGTGTTTGTTTTGGGGGGGGGGGGGGGCAGGATATATTTTGATTCCTTTTATAAGTGAAATCTTGACTCACTGCTCGACTGTCATCTAGGCAAAACATTTTGGCAATTAAGAAAAACCCTTTCTGAATAAATTCAAATATACCCTAAGCTGATTAAACATGTTACAGTCCAAACGTACTTTCCCCTTTTTAAGCCTACTGTACCAACAACTATGTAACAGGAGAGCCTGACTGGATACAAATTAAAATATTTTGGTAGGCCCTAGCATTACATTTGGTAAATCTAAAAGCCTGTGTTGACAGATCTTTGTTCTTTTCAAAGGGGTTTTGCATTCCCATACATGTCTGTAAGTATGCAAAAGCTTCTTACAGGAGGTCAAATGCAGATTAGGTCAGCTACAGGTCAAATACACCTTCCCCTGAATTCTGAATAATTTGAGAAACATTTCAGACTGATGCTATCAATACAAACTCAGCAACTGTTGACTTGGGCCCTAAAAAAATGATATTGAAATTGTGCAGTCTGTTTTATATATCTATAGCCATGGGTTACATGTTTGGCTATGGCCCAAATATCACACAGCTTTTGTACAAAGCCCCATTTTTTAGAAATGCGGGTTTCAGCCTTCAACATTGGAGATATGTGAAAAATTGAATTTCCATTGTATGCTGTAAATATGCTTGGTTGTACCTGCAGTGAAGAAGCACATTGTATAATGTTTTTAGCATTGAAATTTCTTAATAGGTTTTTTTTTTCAACAGTTAGGAGATCGAAATGGAGAATTGACAGCCCAGCTGAACCTTTCCGACCTACAAATGGTACTGGGGCTTAGCTATAGCACAAATTCTTCAGTGTTGTCTGAAGTGCAGGATGTGGACACCAGTTCCCTTGGTAAGAACACGCTGAAGCTGATTTACTAAAGGATTTGAGAATCATCACACAATAAATTGTGTGAATATTCTTTTCTTCAATCGTGTAGATCAGGTGTCCTCGAAATTTTTAAACAGGGGGCCATTTAACGAACCTTCACCCTGTTGGGGGGCTGGACTATAGTTTGAAAAAAATATGAACAAATTCCTATGCACGCCGCACATATCTTATTTGTAGTGCAAAAAAAAAAAACTGAAAAAAAACAATACAATATTCAAAATGCACTGTACACTGTAATGCACTGGACACCGCAATGCACTGTACTTTGTAAGGCACTGGACACCACAATACACTGTAACGCATTGGACATCGCAATGCACTGTACACTGTAACTCACTGGGCACTGCAATGCAATGTACTCTGTAATGCACTGGACACCGCAATGCGCTGTACACTGTAACGCACTGTACTCTGATACATTGGACACTGCAATGCACTGTACTCTGTAACACACTGGTCACCGCCATGCACTGTACACTGTAACGACTGGACACTGCAATGCATTGTACTCTGTAACGTACTGTACGCTGATACACTGGACACCGCAATGCAGTGTACTCTAACACACTGGACACCGCAATGCACTGTGCCTGGTGTTCTCTCCTCCTCTCCTGTTGCTCGTCTGGCTGCAGCAGGTGAAATCCTGGGCTTCCATTCTGCCACTCACAGCCGAGGACCCAGCGAGCAGCCTAGCTATTTGCCGGCCAGCGCCATTTTTCTTTTTTTTTTCCCGAATTTTTTTTTCATGGCTGGCCCAGTGGGTTGGATAAATGTCTTTGGCGGGCCGTGCACGGCCCGCGGACTGTAGTTTGAGAACCCCTGGTGTAGATGAAATAAGTAAACACAGATATCTCCATTGTCCCTTGAGGTACACAGGACTTTAGAAACAGGCTACACTGACACCTACAGGAGGTTGGGACACTGACAAGCAGAAAAGTTTCTAGGCCAGCCCACATATAAGCCTTCCTCTGCCCAGCGTGCTTCTGTGTTTTGCTAATGTTCTAAGAGGTTGGAGACATTTTCTTAAGCTCTGCTAAAGCAAAATTCGAACTGATTTCTGTGCTAGATTTGATTGACTTTGTGAATTGAGCTGATCTCTATATTCAACCGCTACCTTGATCTGCATTTCCTCAACAATAGCTTTTAGAGTCTGAACCCCACTAAACTGGACAGGGCTAGCCTGGAATGTGACTTTCAGGCACTGGACTCTGCATTGTGGTGCTTTCCAAACTTTTGTGTGTGATGTTGGCCACGGAGTGCTTTCTGAGTCCAGAGCCATAGCACAACCCCAGGTGTGACCCTCTCTCTGCAGACTCTGTGAGTAAAGTTGGTCGGGTTAAAGCACATTACTGTGTGCCAAACCTGGCTCAAATTCTAAATTCCTCCCACTGTTGATTTTTACCACAGTTAACACAATGCTGATATAATTCACTCGGTGGAGTGCTGCATGCTTGTGTTCTATTTCTCGTCAATCTGCCTGGAGGAACACCATCCCATTGCTACTCTTGCTCCTGAAGCACCATGTTGATTTTTCAGACCCCAATCTTGTTCTACTGCCTACCCATTGTGACTTGGTCACCTCCAGCCATCTGAAATTCTCATTAGTATCAACTGCCCAGATCTATAATTACTTGAGGCCTAGTTGCTTACTGCAATGTACCACTAAACGTCTTCTCAGAGACACAGAGGTCACTCCTACTGCTGTGGGTGACCTCAGCACATACTCCCCTAGTGGTTCTAGGGGTATTGAGTCAGTATCCCCAGATATAAAGCAATCAATGCCTGGAAGCTGGGACCCTTTATTGTGATAGGGTCATCTTTGTTTGGGTTTCTGCAGCTCTGCCGGGAGGGGCTGGTGCCTCCCCCATGTCCAAAGGTAACTCTGTGTCCACCCAGTTACTTCAGCATTCTGCCCATAGAAGATATACATGAGCCATCTCTGAAAATAGATTACAGTCTATTGGAGAGGCTGTTGCAGTCTCCTGCAGTTGACACAGATAGACAGAGAGTTGTTGCTAAATTTATTTATACAGTACTGATCACCTTGCATCTGGAGGATCGACCTGCTGAAAAGACCTTTTCTCTGTATCCTCTGAGTCATTCCTATATGCAGACTGGAAACAACAGATAGGTCCAGAGCTCCACCTGAGAGTGAGTGTGACAAAGCATTTTCCCTCAGAAAAGGGATTTGTAAACTGGTGAATGTTGCCCACTGTAGAAACACCTGTAATCCATGTTAACAGACATGCCAACAAAAGGTTGAAGGTTAAATTCCAGTTGGAATTAGCTGATTTGGCCCTCTATCGTGTTGGCAGTAACATTGCTCTGTCCAAGCATGTCAGAGTGGGTAAGGTCCCCTAGAGGATCCCTCTACTGCTGGGGTAGGCTTCTGTTTTATAGAGCAACTAGAGCAAATGTTTGGATCTTTGTGCTTTAGTGTAGTGGCCTGTTGCAAGGCTCAAAATGTATGTCTCACATGCTATTGATGTCTATACAATTGCATAGGGCACTCTGGCTGGTTAACTGATGAGCCGCCTAAGGTTCATCTGGTTCGCATACCCTTCAAGGGCACGTTGGGTCAGAGGAATCTCACCTATTTCCCTCATCTTCTTCAGCAGTAAGTACCCTTAGCCCCTCAGAGCCTAACTCCCTCTTAGGCTATAGGGCCTGATGCCAGAGGTATGCTAACCTTCTCTGGCATGCCTTCAGCATGAAGGTGTACCCCCAGTCTACACGTGGGAGGCTGTGTGTATATCTGGACTGGTCCTCTGGTAGTTTGCCTTGCTGATATTTGGGTGCTCTTGACACCCCTCACTCCCTTGTGTGTGGCGCTTCCTTCAGCCGGTCTTCTTCTTTCTCCTTATGCTACTGCACTCAGTAATGTGTGTTCCAAAGTCTGCTGAAGTACCCTGCAGAAGCTGATGCACCCCTTGCTGTAGTTGGTGCCTCAGAATTCTCTCGAGAGGATCCCTTTACTTACTAGTTTGGCTGCAACCAATCCCTTCTGCTGTCTTCGCTAACAAGGGCCTGACCCCTCAATATCCATTTGTAGTCACCAGCTATTTCTCATGACATTCAACACCCCTTAGAGGACAAGCTTTCGGGATCCTTGCACTCAGAACTCTTTGTAAGGTCCCAACACCTCTAAACTTCAGCTGGATTGGGCACACCTTTGTCTAGCGTTGGTAACAGCTGCTAACCAACAGGCAAGGCTGTGTAGCTCAAATCCTTGTTTAGTGTATGATGTGAGATATCCCTCCCCCCTTTCCTTTTTGGAAGTTGGAGGGTATATTCTCTTGACCTTGGTCCCTCCATTTCTCATTGACTCTTATTCTTCAAGATCCCCCTTGACATCTGAGACCCCGAACTTGAGAGGAGACATCCGCATGGCACCTACTGGCCCTGGCATGACTTTTCACTTTTTAGTGGATGCGTCTTGCTCATGCTCCTACCCTTAACAATATCCCCTAACCAACCAGCTTCACTTCAGAGTTTGTACCCCTGGGATTCACCTGTCTTTGAGGGATATTGCACTGAGAGTTCTCATTTTTCCTTGGATTTTATTGTGTTAGAAAATGTGTCTGGCTATTCAACCTCATTCATCTCATGGTAGTTCCCTCTCTTGTGGTTCTCAGAGTTGAGAATATAAGGCTTGGCTTTGTTTCTATAATGCTTGGTCTCCTTTTGTGGACCTCTTTTGTCCATGGTTCCTTTTAAGGGCATGTACTCCTGGTGTTTCAGCCCCGTGTTCTTTTTCTTGACTGCACTGCATTGTTGGTTTATTCTTACTGGTCTGGCAATTGTCTTTCTTCACCTCCCCTACATTTAAAGCAAATTTATCTGGTTTCAGATTTAGGTATTCGTCTTCCTGATAATCATTTGTTGCAGATGCTGTATACGGCTTGCTCACAGAACAGAGGGCGGTAGTTGCCAGCCTCCTGTGAGCAGCAGGAGACCCTGTGCAAAGATATATTGTCTTGTGAACTGGCAAAGTGCTATTTAGGTCCAGTGCAGTGATCCCCAGAGTCCCAAAAGGTCTTTATGCCATTGGCCCACTGAGGTGGGTAAACTTTGCCACGCCTGGGGGGCCCTGTGGTGTGGAAAGGTGAGTATTCTGGAGTTAGCATTGTTCCCTGTTGAAGAAGATGAATTGCTTGATCCCCTCCTGGCCTCTGTTCTTTGAGGGACCCCTATGTTTCCCCTCTCTTTAGACACAATGTTTGTTTTGCACCCCTTTTTTATTTTGATTAAGGTGCCCTTTTTTCCAACCCTTTCCGGCTACCCAAAGGCCAAATAGCAGTGTCGCTGTTTAGGGGCACTCCAGGAGTCTTTTGCTGCGCTATTGGTAAAAAAATACTAATAGTGAGTTACTTATACTTTAAATGTACTCCAACCAATATTATTAAGTCAAAATGCATTAATCACCAAGAGATTGTTGTGTCCACCACCACAAAAGCACACTGCTCCTTACCGAGTAGTTAGACCCCAGATTGTAGGTGGTCTAACAGAGCATGATGCTGAATAAATCTTGCTTGTAACATCCTAAATGGAAAAGATGTGTCACAGACTTTCATATCTCTCCTACTTTCTTCCTCCCTTATTGTGATCCGCTGTATACTCGGTCAAAAAGGATAATACTCCAGATAGTGTGATAACATACAAATGATTTATTAAAGTGCTTAAAAAGCCACTTACAAACTTCAAAGACAAACTAGCATGTACGTCTAAACGCTGATGGTGCCGGCTGCATACAGGCATTGGTAACTATCAGTACAGTTTCCGCCCAGCCACTAAGGGGATCCCCAGATACCACCTTCTCCCCATGTTAGTGAGTAAGGGGTGTCCCACCATGTACATTCACCATTGATCACATCATCTAGTGGTGATGCTCCACAATCATCACGGCGGTGGTAGGCACTGTATATGAGAGCCCCTTATTGTTAAAGGGGACTCCTAGATTTCAATAAGTTCCCCTCCCTTGATCCCCAAT